AATAGTCCCGAATACCGAACCGACCGAACCGAAAAATAAAAATCTCCGAACCAAACCGAACCGACTTTTTGGTACGGTTCCGGAGATTGAATTTTGGGATCTCTGAAGTTTGGTACGGTTCTGGAGATTTATCAATCTCCGAACCGTACCGACCCACGCTCACCCCTAGCTGTATTTTCCGTTTTCACCATGATTTATTATTGTAGTGGTACCATCAAAATCAATAGACATTTCAATAAAAATTTATGAAGAGTTTTTTTAAAAATTTATATTTTGGATACATGCTTATGTAATCATGAGTTTCTATAATAAACAATTCGTAATTAAGTTAGCATAGTCATGATTTTATGAAAAATTAAAAAGTAAACATTTTTAGCTAATTAGCCTAAATTGATATACTCAAATATAATAGTGGTCATTAGTTTAGATTTTGTAACTATCCAAAACTAATGTATTTTGTAAAAGTAAGGCTTTTTCTATTTGGAAAAATTTGTGCTAGTAATATTTATTAAGTTTTATTCATGAGGTAAAATTAAATAAAATGCTAGCAATTATATATATATATATATAGATACTGGGCCGTCTTCAGAAATATGGAGGCCCCTGGAGGCCCCAGACAAATTTTTTCCTTTCGATTTTTTCATTTTGACTTTGCATGATAATATGACTATTTGCAGATAGAATAATGACAGAAAAAACCTAAATGAACAAGACTATTAAACAAATAAATAATTGAAAAAAAAAACTTATTTTTCTAGATCTTGGAACTGATAAATTACCTTTGAATTACAAAGATTTTTAATAAATTATATTCAAGTAACCACGAGGACACAAGGAGGAAAAAAAATAAAAATCATATGATTGCAAAGAATATTTATTCTCGCACAACTCATTCTGACAGGACATCATAAGAAAATAAATATAATATTTAGGGCCTCAAATTTCTACACAAAGTTACATATCTTGTCATTATCCTTTCATTTGTGTAATGGGCCAAGTCCAAATATATTTAGTCATTAGCACTTTTTTTGTTGTAAATAAGTCAAACCCAACACAGATACGAAATTAAAAAAAAATAAAATAAATAAAACTGAGGTCCCAAATAAATGGAGGCACTACGCATGGGCGTAGCTTGCCTCCCCAAGGAACCAACTATGTATAGATAAAAATAATATATTAACGAAAAGAGATAGCCAACA